ACAAGAATAAAATATGTTGGAATAATTTAACCAAGGAAGTGAAAGACTTGTACACTGAAAAATATAACACTGCTGAAAGAAACTAAAGACTAAATGAAAAACATTCAGTGTTCATGAATTGTGGACTTTGCATTGTTAAGATGTTAGTACCACCCAAAGTTATCTACAGAGTCAATGTAATTCCTATCAAAATGTCATTGGCATTATTTTAAACAGACACAGGAAAAAAAAAGCCAAATACCGAAATTCATATGGAACCACAAAGAACCTGAATAACTAAAACAACCTTGAGAAAAAGGAAAATGCTAAGGCATCACGCTTCCTGATTTCAAAGTATCTTAATAAGTCAGTTTCTAAAGCAATGTGCCAGTATGAAACATATTGGCATGGGCATACTAATTGGCATAGACAATTAGACCAGTGGAACACAAAATGCAACTAAAAACATGTGACAAATGGGTCCCACAATACTGGGAGATGCTCTACATCTCCCAGTATTATAACAAATGTTAACCACAGTTACCTTGATTATGAAAAAATAAAAAAACATGACCAAGAAGTCAGATTTTTTTTTAAGAGTTCGACTTCAGTGTTGTGGAAGAGTCAAAACAGTCTTGAAACAAGTGTAAAGACAGATAAATATAAGATACCAGAAAGAAATAAATGAAAAATTTAGAACTAAAACACATAGTAACAAAAACTTGAAAATCCCCAGAAAGACTTTTTAGTCTTTAGACTGAGTATAACAGAGGAAAGAATCAGTAAATTTGGAGGTAGACATACAGAATATTTCCAAGCTGAAAACCAGGGTGGGAAACGGTAGGGAAAAAAAGTAAATAGCGCCTCAGGTACCTTCAGGCCAATTACAAGTGTATTACATTCGGATATCACTGAAGTCCAGGAAGGAAAGGGGAGAAGAGTAGCACTGTAAAACTCAAATAGGAAGAAATGCAAAGAAATCTATATCCATAACTAAGCTGCTATAACTAAACTCCTGGTCACTAAAGACAGGAAAAATATCTTAAAAGCAGCTAGAGAAAAAACATGTTAAATATAAGAAAATAAATGATCTTCTCACCAGAAACTATTGGAGGCCAGAAACAGTAAAACATTTTAAAAGAGGAAGGGAAAATCCTAGAGTTTCTTATCAAGTGAAAAATAATTCAAGTAAAAATAAAGCAGAGATTCATACATGGAACATTCTAAGAGAACTCCTGACTGCAGATTTATTCTAAAAGAAATGCTAAAGTCTCAAAACAGTATAAATATCAAAAATGATAACTGAATTTCAGGAGTGAAGAAACACAGTATCTAGTTTAAATATAACAGACAATTTCCCTTCTCTTCAAATCTTTAAATTCGGTACCACAATTAAAAACAAACCTTGTCTTAACAACCTTCAATCTTTCAATAATGTAGATGACAACTATACCATGAAGTGGGATGGACCAATATGTGGAAAGGTTTTCCACATTCCCCTTGAAAAGACAGAATACTGATTTTAAGTGGACTGTAGCATATGTATATTATAGTCCCCAGAGAAAACACTGAAAACCCTATACAAAGAAAAACAATAACGTGATAAATCCTTTAAAAAATCTAAATAATACAAAAGAAAGCAGAAAATGGAAAATCAAGGAATGGAAAACAAAGGAAATAAACATACAAAACAATATAACTAAATCCTAACACTAATAATTGTATTTAAATTATATTAACTAATATCAGTAACATTTATGTTACAATAGAATCACATTGGGTAATTGCATTTAATGTAAATTTGACTAAAATTTATGTTGAAGAAATTAATGAAGAGAAACATCAGAAGGGGAAAAAATTCACAACTCAACTACATATTGCCTACAAGAAATTCACCTTAAAAACAATGATAAAGATAAATCAAAAGTAAAGGGATGGAAAAAGATATACCATGTAAACATTAATGAAGTGAAAATTTGAAAGGCTAAATCAGACAACAGGTATTTCTAGACTCAGATTTCTGCTACACATAATGAGGAATATCACATAAAGACATAAGTCAATTTATCAATATATAATGACTTTACATATGTATATAATTCAACAACAGCCTCAGAATACTTTATGCAAATTCAAACAAGTCAGGTTCAAGGCTACTTAGAAATTAATTCACTTATATGGCACCCTGAGAAGGCAAAATTATAGAGATAGGGAATAGCTCACTCCAAGCAGTGGATTAATTATGGTGTAGTAACTAAAGGTGTAACTAAAGGTTTAACAATAGGTATAAGTTTAACTACAAAGGTGGCAAAATTGTTCTTTATCTTGATTGTAATAACAGTTTATAAAAATCTATGAATGTGCTGAAATTCACACATGTATATATCCAAAGAAGGCTATACTTACTATATATAAATTTTTGAAAAAAGGGGAAAAATAAGTTATTTTATAACTATTATTTTTTATTGAAATTAGCAACAAAACAAAGGCAGTTTCCAAAAACAATAGAGTATATTTCCAGTTAAAAAGACTGAAATCTCATTCCAGAAACAGGTTATACCAGATGTTCAAAGAAACTCTTCCCAATACTGAATTCTCCAAAAATATCTTTTAAAAAGATATGTCAGAAGTTGTGCTAATATAAGAGGCAGAATTAAATAAGGTAGTTCCCTTATCTGAAGCCTTTGACGTCAGCAGTACTTTAGGGTCAGAATTTGGTGTTTGTTGTTTTAACTATCATATTGATATTGCAGCAGTGGGGCAATACCCCATAATCAACACATTCATACTTCTGCAGTAAATTCATACCAGTTAAGATCAAGTTTTGTTCATTTAAAATAACTTGTGACAAGCAAAGCTTTCTGGATTTTTGAATTGCAAATAAGGATTTGTGGAGCTGTAGGAGTTAGTGCAAATCAAGACAAGACGTGTAAGTGAAAGTGCAAACAGGAGGGCTAGCACTGAGAAAATACCACCAAGTCCAGGAATAAAGCTTGCAATTTCAAGGGCAGTTGCCCAGAGCCCAGTGTAGATTAAACCAAAAAGTTTAGGGCCTATAAAACGCAAGACCAAGTTTAGTTTTAAGTGGTATCAGAGTAATAATTGATGTTTGCCCCAGACTAGTGGCAAAAACAAATATAACCCAATTTAAACAGATTTTGCACAGAATTCCAACATGTAACTAAACAAAAACAATGTTCAAAAACTACTGAATGTGAATGTGAAGAAACAAACGCTGAATCAAATTCACAAACACCGATGACACTGGAATTAGCAGATAATGAAAATGTGTAATAAATTGAAAGAAATACAAAATTTCAAAAGTGGGGTAAAGGCATAAAGGAATAAGAAACAAGAAATGATGAGGTAAATTTGAAGAAAAAAACCATAAATGAAAATTTCAAATAACTTTTAGGGAAAAAAAGGATTCAACAGGAAATTAGGCCCATTTTTAGAGAGAACCAATGAGCTAAAAGGTCAGAAGAAATCACCACTGATTTCTTTAGATCTTTAAATTACCACTGAAAAGCTACAATATTAGATGATTCTGACTAACACTCTGGAAAAGGCAAAACTATGGAGACAGTAAAAAGATAAATGATTGCCAGAAACTATGGGGCAGTAAGAGATGAAAAGGCATCGCACTGAGAATTTTTAGGGCAGTAAAAATACTCTATACCATAATAATGGATACACACTAGTATACATTTGCCCAAACCCACAGAATGTACAACACTAAGAATGAACCATAATGTGATCTACAGACTTGTTATTATATGTTCAGGTACGTTCGTCAGTTGTAAGAAATACCACTTTAACAGGAGATGCTGATAATGGGCGAGGTTATGGGAAATCTCTGTACCTTCCTCTCTATATGACTGTGAATTTTAAACTACTATAAAAAAAAAAAAAAGTGTCTTAGTAGAAAAAAAGAAAAGAGGAGACACGGAAAAACCTAAAGAAATCACTTAGCCTCTTAAAAAACAAAAAACAGGTAAGAGAGGAAAAACATGAAGTTGTTTAATCAGAATTTCAGAAAGCAATAACCGAAAAATAAGTGTTTTTATTTCCAAACTATTAGAGAAGATAAAAAGGGGTGCTGCTGTTGAAATGCCCATGCTTTAATTCTAGCTGCCCATTTACTGTATAACCTAAGGGAAGTTACTTGACCTTTCTAAGCCAATGTTTTCTTGTGTAAAATGGAATAATGTCTATCTCGAGAAGTTGTGACAAGTGAAATCCAAGTATAGCACTTAGCACAGAACTCAATACATATGACCTAATGGCAATGAAAAAAGTCTTATTTGCAAAGTACAGTAAAACTAAGATTGAGACAAAGATGAAATCTACCTATCAGGATTTCAAAATCTGTGGAAGAGTACATACACAATTCTTCATTTGTTAATTCTGCTAATATACTTCTCAGAGGATCCAATTACTACATGTACTCCTCCTGTTTCTTTTTCATATACTGATTGTACTCACTCCAGGGTGTTCTACAAATCCTTCCAAATTTACAAACAGATGTGCAAAAACTACTACAATTCTATTTTTCCCCCTATCAAGTTCCACTTGATTTAAAAAACAAAACACAAAACCAGCAGGATAAAGAGACAAGAAAACCACATACTTACTTTTCATTAGTTTTCCTGATAATTCCTTTAGTGGAGAAGAGGGACTATTTCTACTGGTTACTATAAATCTGGAAGAAGATTCTTGGGATTCCATGGACACTTGGTAAGTTCCTGTTCTAGCCATTTCAAGATGTAAAGGATGGGCACTGTCACATTCCTGGGAAAGCAGCAAGTGATTCTGAGTGTTGCTAGTTCTATTATTCAGGTCCAATCCTTCTGACCGAGTCATGAGCAACTGGGCTGAACTAGAATCCTCCAATCTCTTGTCAAGAGACTCGGTTACAAAAGATGTTGCAGTTTCATGCTTTTTAGATGGAGACACAGGCTCAGCCAAGGAGCTTTGCTTCACTGTGTTCAGACTGTGTGCTCTTATTCGGGACCAAGTTGTGGAGTGAAAGCTTTCAGCCTCTAGCCAAAATTTTACCAAATGCTCCATTCTCCGAAGTTCCATGAATTGAATGAAATAAGGGAGGACAACAGTATCATGTAAGACTTGTTCAAGAGTTTTTGAAAGACTTGATTTGGTCTCTTGAGTCTGGTAATCCAGACAAGATCTACCTAAAATAAGAAAAAAAAAAAAGTTCAATAACAAATTTAAGATCCAGTGATTAGTCACTTTTAGCATCAATGGTACCAAAAGGTCTTGAGTAGAGTTTATTTCCTAGCAATTTAAATGAATAAAAAACTGAAAATGCTAAGGTTTCTAACCAAGCAAAAACACAACTGTCCAACAATTACTTACATTTTTAAAAAATTCTGTTACTCAACCCTTAATCTCTTTTCATGGAATTCAGACTAAAGTGTATTTTTAAAAATCTTTAATAAAATTTATATGTTTTTTTACATCATTTTCATTTTTGTACAATGTCTGATTTCTCCTCTCAGGTGTAATCCCCACAGAATCCCACCACCAAGTCACCTATGAACAGTCACCATAGTCTCTTACGCTCTTCCCTCTCGTTTTCTGCTCCCTTTTAGACATTTTTTCAGGTCCTCTTTAAAGTGGCTACATAGTACGGATTTTCTTCAGAGTATGGGTATACTGGAATTTGACTACTTATCTACTAGTGATATTTCTATGCTGTCCCTAATTTTTTGCTATCACAAAAATAATGCAATGAACTGCCTTCTACAACCTGTATGTACCTTTTTGTGCATATTATGTGAGCATATCTCAGGGCTTATATTTTGATAAATACCTCCAAATTGCCATCCAAAATTATTCACCAATTTGTGCTTCAACTAAGAATGGTTACTTCCCTGCATGTACATTAAAATTAAAACTTTAAATGTTTGTTAATGTGTGAAGGGGAAATAACGATTTCAACTTGCAATTCCCTATGTATTGGTAAAGTGGGGCATCTTTTTCATATATTTTAGTAGTCAAATGTATTTCTTCCTTAGGAAATGGTTGTTTTTTTCTACTTTAGATTTTATACAGATAGAAAACAATATAATAGCATCAATTATACTTACAGCTGTCATTACAGTTTAAATACTTATTTTCAAAGACCCTTCCAATTACAAGGTTATTATCTTCTAGCAGAAGTTTCATATGTTATTCTCAAACCTTCTTCCCATTAGAAGTTATCAAAAAGTGATAGTTACTTACCCAAGTCACCAAAATGAGCGGCTTCCATGTGGCTTGGTTGCTTTTTAAGTGTTGCTGTCCTGCTACTTGAAAAGGAGTCCATGTTGGCAGAAATGGCATTGATTGCAACATGACTTGGTCCTGCGGCCTCCAGCAAGGCATGATTTTTAGTGCTTTTTTGTGGGGAATGTACGGATATTGAAGCTATAATTTTTCAAAAAATTGTTAAAAAATTAAACACAAATTGATAAGCTAAAAATTGTTTCAGAAGAGGGCTTGGGATTAATTTTAAAAATCATATTTTATAATATAATTCTTAAGTACTCACACAAGAAAAATTACTTAGGCAAAAGGTAATGCCTTATTAGTATTTATAACTCAAAATGTAATGCCGAAACAGTTAGTTGAAAAATCTCCAAGAATTTCTACTGAAAACAGAAAGTGCCAAAGCCTGGCAACACTTTGAAATATGGACCTTTTCAATTTCTTAATCCTTGCTTGCCTAACAGACAAAACTAAAATTGCGGAATAAAAGCTTGGGGTGAGGGGGTAATCAGAAAGATGCTTTTCAGAATACTTATATTACTTTTTAATTGATAACAGAATTTCCCCATTTAATAAAAAGGATTTGTGATTAAAGGTAAAGTTGCTTAAAGTATACTAGAAACTTCACAAAATAGTCTGGTGAAATATTAATATACCTTTGACTTCAGGGGGTTAATTTCCATTACTACAATACTGTCCAAGTAGTGCTATGAATTTGTAGCTACGGCTAATTTAATTCTATGTATCCTATTTATTTCATACAAATATCAACGATTCTTCTCAAAGGTTTTAAAAACATTTTGGTTTAGTACACTGTCATACCAAGGACAGAAATGATATTATTGAGCAGTCAATAGTGCTCTCAATCTTAGTGAACAGTTCATAGCCACAGAATCTAATACCCAATAAAACTTCTTAAAGAATATACAATACTATAATTCACTTATTTTACTACTCTTTGAGGTGGCTTATAGGATAAAGCAGATAAGAACATTAATGTCCATATCTGTTTCCCAGGTATCAATATTTATCAGTCATTCAACAAGAGAAGAATCATGTAATGGAGTTGTTTTCAAATGATTTTTTCAACTTGAGAAGGAAGTCTTGATTTTATTTTTTCATGAAGGTAGAAAATAATTTCAGCACGTTTATTTAAATAGTTGCTAATTTTTTATGTATAAGTTATAAATAACATTCTATAAGAATGAGATTTTCTAATTGTTTCCTAACTAATGTTTATCATGTTATAAAATCTACTAATTCATTCGACTTTTTCTTCCTCTTTCTCAACTTCTCTAGGAGAAACTCACACCTCATTTTACAACTTCCTTCTTTATCTTCTTTTGGTCTCCATAGCATTTCACACTTTACTCTTCTATCTATTCCCATATGTTTTCAGTACACATTTATAAATGCCTGATCTAGCAAGTACAGCCTCTTTTTCTGTTTTATTCTAGAAGACACATTTGTTCTTAAACCTTTGTTACTAGAGCAAACTTTTTTAGCTGTAAACTCCCTTTTCTGCTAGAGTCAACAGTGTTTAGGCAAGCCAGGAAAGTGTCAACCTTAAACCTCACTCTCCCTTACACCTCATATTTAATCAATGACAAAATTCTGTCCATTTTACCTCCTAAATTGATCTGTTCAGATCTCTTTATCTCTATCATCACTAATTTGGCACAGGCCATCTGGAATTAGCTGACTAATATTCACCTCCCCTATTTATCTGAAAGAATACAAATGTGTTTTGCTCATTGCTACAGTCATAATTTTGCCTGAGGTTTGGAACAGAATAAATGATAGCTAGTATTTGGTCTATCTGTACTATTCTATGTGTAACTTTGTCCTAATCAGAGAGCAAACTTCTTGAGGGTCTGTCTTCTGTGCTGTTTCTGTATTATTCTAAGGTTAAATCAGTGAATGCTAAGCACATTACTATCATAAGTAAAGCACAAGCATGAAGTGTTTTATCTTAGTACGATTCAGAAGTTGGGTAGTCCAAGTCCAATCTCTTCATTTTACAAGTGAAGAACCTGAAGAAACTTACTAGACTTCTCAAACTCAGTGTTAAAATAGCAGAATTTAGAATACAAGACTGATGTGTATGACACATCAAAATTTCTTTTCTCTACTACAATCATATCTAATATTCACGACTCTACTTGCTATAGGTTTTTAGTTCTTATCAACGCCAATCAGATTTTGCTTAAAAAAAAGCAGTATGGGGGAAAAAATAATAATAATGAATGATATACCAGAGACATTTTATGGGGGTGGAGTGGGGAAAAGAATAAAAAATGGGGGGGTGGGAGGACATACACTGGACTATGGTGATGGTACACGGGTGATTTGGTGATGGGAAGCCCACAGGGATTTCAACTGAGATGGAAAAAGGCACAAAATGATGTAAAAATAAACTATTATTTAAAAAAAAAAAAGCAGTATGGAACCCTCTCTAGGATGAAAAGTGTCACCTTAGCAAAGGTGTCATTCCCTCCTTTTTGCTGTAGGCCTAAGTGGCTGCTGTCTTAATGCACAAGTTTGCAAAACTTGTGGAAGATGGTACTGGTCTTGGCTGGATGCTACTCCTGATGCCAAGTGACAGCTGCCATGGGCAGGAAGAAAATCACCAAAGGTTAAAGATCAAGTCTTTTGTGCAAATTTGTAACTATAATCACCTGTGGATATCCCCCTGGACAAAACTGTTGTCAATAAGGATGTCGTCAGAGATCTGCTCTTAAATGCAAGGCCCGACAAGAGGACCAGATCAAGTTTAAGAAGAGATACAAGACTGGCAAGAACAAATGGTTCTTTCAGAAGCTAAGATTGTAGGTTTGTTAGTCATTAAAAATACCAAAAAAGGGCCTTCCCTGGTGGCACAGTGGGTTAAAACAGAGCACTAAGAAGCTAAAGCCACTTCAGCATGAGTTCGATCCCCAGCCCGGAGGTGACCCACATGGCATGGCAGACCTCTCCTGACACATCCCCTGCTCCCCTCAGCAGTGTACTTCGTCAGTCTGCCTGTTCTGCTCCCCGCTGTGTCTCTGGTGAATCCTTTCACTGCCCTTGCACCTCTGGCCTGTGCCCCAATTCTGTATGCATAAATAAATAAATCTTAAAAAAAAAAAAGCAGTATGAACAAATATGAAATCCACTTGACTTTACATTATCAGAAGTAAACAGAAAACAGTCTGGAAGGTACCTAATTCCTTACTAATCTTACAAAGTTATACTTTGTAAGTTACTTAAGTTATAAGTAAGCAAATTGAACAAATAGCTAATACTACTAGTTACAAAACATACAAAGATTTGAAAAAAAATATAGAAATAGCAATCTACAAACTTCAGGTAAAAATTGCATTGATGAAATCTATGTTGAATGGCTATGGAAATAATTTCTATTATAATTTTCCTATTTCAATCTTTGTACATAGTCAAAACTGAACGAGATTACAATCTAAAAATAGCATGCACTGACCTATAGTTTAAGGACAATATATTAATTCTAATAAAATACTCAATAAATTTTAAATTGTGGTCATTCATCCAAAGTAATAAAGAAATAAAAATTGTAATCAACCATACTTCTAGTCAGAAAACCAAGCCTTGTGTCTGTAGCTTTCTTTGCAGAGTTGTCATACTACACTTAAGATGACTACCGACTACATGTTTTGCTTTTTATTTTTTTAAAATAAAGTCAGCTGGTCACCTTTAGGGGACTATCAAGATTAATAGGTCACTGTTATCACTATGACAGTCAACAAATGATTAGTACGTCTATTATATTTAGGTGCTTAAGAGTATACAGGTTAAACAAGGAAAGTAAATCACTATCAAAAAATTATAAAACAGGGCAGAAAGGATTAATACCAAAAAGGAGATAACAGGATTAAAGGGCTCATAAAAGCAAAGTATATCACTTTGAGTACAATGAAAGCCACTGAACTCACCTTTAATTGACTTCACATCTGCAGTTTTCTCTTGTTCTTTGCCTTTCACTGTCAAGATAAAAGAGTATCATAGCCACCTTTTGCAACAAAAAGATACAATTTATATCAGTGCATTGTAAAACTTAGACAAGTCTTATTCTAACAAAGGAATATTAAAAAGTTCTATAAAAATGGGCTAATTTCCTTAAAGTGGGGGCAGGGCAGCTGTCAGAGGAAGTTTCTCTAGAGAAGTGACCTATGAACAACATTCAGTCAAAAAGACCTAGAGTGTTTAAGGAGGGGCAATGTAAGAATACTAGAATTCTGGCTCTGCTACTTGTTATCAGCCACATCATGTGATCCTGGACAACAGCCTTAACTTCAAGACTTTGATTTGTAAAATTACTTTATAACTTTAGCATCTACCTTAGAGGGTTACAGATGAAAAAATAAATAGCTATACAGGGCTTAGAAGAGCAATTAGCAAACAGTAAATTCAGGATGTTAATGGCATTAATAACATGTCACCCATTGAAGGGGATATTAAACACATCCTGAAGAAAACAGCTCTTTGTGCATCATATCTTTCTCTTCCTGTATTCTAGCCCCAGTGTCAAATGCAAAATTTCTAAACTTTTAATACTCAAAAGTTTAACAACTTTTCCTCCCTTGAATAATTATACAATCTCTCTAATATTAAAACAGTAGAACCACTATTATAGATATGCTAACTACATAATATCCAAGAAAAGAAGGTGCAAGGCAGTTTAAGCCAATGTGAACTCTTACTTTAATCCTCTTTTTCCTGCGCTTTTTCCAACAGGCTACTTTCTATAGCCCTACCATGAAAAACTTCAACATGAATCCTCTTTCTCCAGATCAACTTGTCCTGATCCTAAAACCTTCACAGACATTTTAAAAACAGCACTGACTCACTAATTACTTAATTAATTTGGGGGAAGAGTTCCTATCTTTTTTTGTAGTAAGACTACTGAGGACCCAGTATAATTCTGTTTACTTGGGTTTTCTTTTATGTCCCTTAATTATGTTTTGTAAATCCCATACAAATTTCAGTTGTTGTTATTGGCATACAGAAATACAACTGAAGTTGGTATGTGAATACAACTGAAATATATATATATATGAATATACACATTTTAAGAACCCAATCAAGCTTTAATAACTTTTCATGGTCCATATGCAGGCTTTCTAGCACACAATCACATTTATCTGGACACAATGACTTTTTGTTCCCCTTCCCTCCCAAAGCTTAACTTTGTGTGTGTGTGTGTGTGTGTGTGTGTGCGCGCGCGCGCATGCACGCGCGCTATTATGAAGACTATACTAGCTTCTTGTTGCTGGTAAGTCCTTAATATATTTGTCCATGCTTTCACTTTTAGCCTTTCCATGATCTTAAACAGTACTTAACAGGAATCCAATCGGAAGATCAATGTGCTTCAACTGTCTGGATTAACTTATTGTAATAATCTTCATTTTTAAAAAGAACATTTTTTTAAAGACTTATTTATGCATACAAGAACTGGATGCAGGGGATGAGAGGATTCACCAGAAACAGAGTAGGGAACAGAACAGGCAGACTGACTGAAATTCACTGTGGAGGGGGCAGTAGGTGAGGCAGGAGAGTTCTGATGCCCCAAGTGGGTGACCCCCTGTGCAGTGGCTGCAACTTCATAGCTTCATAGCTTTATCCCTTGTGAAATGGGAAGGCCCCAAATGAACAGTCTTAAAACTAACTACAATATGACCTTTCCCTCAGAAATTTTGTTTTTTCTCCTAGAAATTCTGATTATTTTTCTTGATACATTTTGAGACTAATACTAGGTGCAAACCAGTTCAAAATTTTATGACAAGTCATCTGGCCATTTCATCATAATGTAGTGGCTTTTTTATCCCTAATAATGTTTGTGCTTTAAAATATCTCCTGTGCAACACAGCTTTCTTCTGATTAACAATATCTGATATAGCTTTTCCACCCATTTATTTTCAATTTCTCTATGTCCTTATGCTTTAGTTTACTCTAAAAAGCAATTACGGCTGAATTTTTTCCATAGTTACTCTGGAAAGTTAACTAGATTTCTGTCATACAGATTTTAATTTATTTATATTTATTACAACTGCTGATCTATTAAGATTTCTGCCACCTTATTTTGTACAACTGGCCATGCTTTCACTTGTTTGCCTATTTCTATAATGAAACATTTAAAACAAAGAGTACACCTTAACATGAGGAACACTTAGATTTTCAAATCCTAACATTATGCCACATTTGCTTTAAAAAATTTTAGAAAAAAAATTAAACAGCAGGTCCAACTGCAATTTCCCTGTCATACCTTCTTGTTCTTCCTACAGAACTTCATAAACTGAATGTTTGTCTCTTTTTTTACCTTTTACTATATTTATGTATTCATAAACAATACATAGCATTACATGAAGGGTTGTTGTTTTTTTTTAAACTTTATACAAATGACTTACCAATTATCCCCAGCAGCATATTCTAAGCAAACCAAATCTTGGTATAGTCATCCCAACCTTTGGAGCCTTCTCAAGAATGTCCTGAGTACAATCCATGCTCCTTAACTTCAAAAGGTTAGGTTACTCTAAGTTCTCTTTTAGGCAAGAAAGCATTCTTGCACCTGATTAGGCAGGGAATGGTCATTGAACTCATTTACTCCTCAGGGGAGAGGTTACAGCTTGGTATGTAACCAGTTAACTATTCTACATTTCCTTTGCAGTTAGTTATGACCATGTAAGTAGGTTCTCACCAACAGAATGAATAGAAATGGAATATGTGACTTTCTGGTCAATGCTTCTTTTTTCCAAACTATTTTACCCTTACCATGGGTAGGAAGACTTAGGACAGAAGAGGTTATGACCTGGCTTTTATGTGACCATACCTTAGCGGAAAGAAGTTCATTTTGATTCCTCTAAATTCTACGCTCAAAATTTTCCATTTTTCTTCATTCCCATCATTTATTCAAGTTATACTATTTTTATCTTCAAAGCATATCCTATTAATTCTCCTCTTTCAGTAAGTTCCAGCCTTCTTTCTATTCCTTGAAAGGACCCAGCTCATTCCTGCCTTATAACATTTGTAGTCCCAGTTCTCTCTGCCTTTATAAGGTTGGCTGTCCTCAGTCAGACCGCAGTCTAAATACTATCTTCTCAGACAAGCCTTCCTTATTATATGAATTGTTATACTGACACCACTGTCATCAGATAACCTACTCCCATATCACTGTTTAAATTTCCTAAACAGTACTTACTGCTAGCTGAATTTTTCCTTATTTTTACTTACTCAGTCAAGAAATATTTACTAAGTCCTTAATTATATATCAGGCACTTACATAGGCATGGGATATTTATAAACAAAAGTCAGAATCCATCCTAGTAAAATACATAGTAAAGCAGATAGTGATAAATGTCATAAAGAAAAAGTAAGTAGGGCAAGGGGAAGAAAACGCATGGACCAGGGACTGCCGTCTGAAGTGGAAAGGTCAGCGAAAGCTTCACTAAGGTGGCAATTGATCAAAGACCTGAAGGAGGGAAGGAAGCAAAAGAGGAGGGTATTTGTAGGAAGAGGTTTCTATAAAGAAAGAAGTATAAAGGCCCAGAGGTGGGAATGCATTTAAAAAGGAAGATAAAATAAATGAAATGACAGAGGAGATCAGGAGACAGAGAAAATGGAACCTACATTGTGGAGGACCATGTACTGGAAGTCACTGAAGGAATTTGACAGAGTGTGGCACAATGCATTTTGTAAATATGTAACTGGGTCAAGGATGGGAAAAAGGAAGCCAAAGAAAAGGCTACAGCAAAATAATGCTGCTTCCTCAATCTTCCTGACATTTAACCTGAGATGTAAATGACATCTTCTCAAAAGACTGTCTTAACCATCCAGAATAAATAGAGCAGGATGTAAAATGGTTAGGCATTAGAAACTGTTGGATCTGGGTATGTTCTGGAACAAACCTAACAGATTTGCTCAGTGGTCAAATATAAAATGGGAGAGAAAGAGAGACTCAAGAATTTACTAAAATTTTAGCCATAGCCACTAAAAGGCCAGAAATGCAATATAATAAGATGATCAAAACTGAGGAAGTTTTAGGAGCACTAAATCTGAACTGTACATGTTAGAAGTTAAAAAGATTTATCTGCTAGTCTATAATATCTATAGATGTAACAATTTCTAACCTATCTATTAAATATCTATCAGATATAGGTATAAAGTAGGGTAGAGCAGCAACTAGATATACTAGTCTGGAGTCCAAATGGGAGACATGAGTTTAGAAGTGATGCACATATAGTTGGTATTTCAGAATTGTATTTAAAAAGTAAATGAGGGCCCTCCCTGGTGGTACCAGGGACTAAGGTGCAGTGCTAGGAGGGGTGGTCCACACAGCCCAGCAGACCTTTCCTGTCTCACCTGCTGCTCCCTTCAGCAGTATATTTCAATCTGCCTGTTCTGCTCCCCACTCTGACTCTGGTAAATCCTCCTGCACCTCTGCCCTATGTCCCAGTTCTTAAAAAAAAATAAAAAGGAATGGGAATCTTAATTGGAACTATTTCCAGCCTCCACTTATCACATTCAGTCTCCAAAACACAACTAAGGCCTTCCTGATGGTAGCAGCAACACTATCAAGATATCACCAGCCACTGCTGCATCAGTTCATTTCCCTGCCAGGGAACTGACCCACATTTCGTAGCAGATCTTTCCTATCGCCCTTGGTGCTTCCCTCAGTTGATCTACCTGTTCTGTTCCCCTGTCTGCTAAGTTCTTTCACCCTCCTCCCCACTCCCCACACCTCTGGCCCAAACCCCAATTCTTGTATATGTCAATAAATCTATCTTTATTTTTTAAAAAATCTAAACATTTTTACTAAAAATATACTTACACATACAAGAACTGGGGTTTAGGACAGAGGTGTGGGGTGGGGGGAGAGCGGTGGTGAGAGGATTTGCTAGAGCAGGGAAGAGAGCAGGTGGATGGACTGAAATACACTGTTGAGGGGAACAGCAGGAGAGACAGTGAAAAGTCTGCTCCACCATGTGGGTCAGCTCCCTGGCAGGGGATCCAACTTGTGTAGCAGGGGATGGCGATAGTTTGATAGCACTGAGACTTTAATCCCTACACCACCTGGGAGGCCCTTCAAAAAAAAAACCATCTAAAAGTCTTTTTAAAACATACGATCAAATCACTTTTCTAAAAAATTTAAATACTGTCTGCACTTAGAATAAAACCTAACACTTGTCTATTAAACTATGAATCCTACCTCTCTACAACCAAATCACAGGCCTTTTTTCCTTTCCTGAATGACACCAAACTCTTTCTTGCCTCACAAGCTACGAACATTCTATACCCTGTGTCTAGGGTGTTCTTCTCTGGCCTCTATGTTACCTGCTATTAATCCTTAAAGTCTAAGTTTTAGGGTCACCTACTATGGTCTGTCTCTAACATCCAACTAAATGTTTCTTCATTTGGGTAATCTCTTTTGTAACACTTTACTCAATTTGTACGTGTGTGTGTCACACATATCTGTTTATTCATTGCCTGTCTTATCCAACAGGCAATAAGCTCCATCAGTGCAAGGCTCTGTCTTGTGCAGTGCTCTATGGGGGTGGGGGGGGGGGTTGTCCACTACTGCCACAGGCAAGCAGCAGTCAAAAGTATTGGTTGAACAGAGACAAGTGTATGTTTTGTAACGTGCAATGTGCCTCATTATACACAGAAAGCTTTTTTCCCCTTTAAAAAAACTAACCAACACCATTAACCCTATGAAAGTACTTAACCAATAAAGCTTCCTGGTACCTTCTTACCCATTTCATTCATTCAGTACTGTTTTCATTCATTTACCACATAGCACTAGTTTCTATGTGGTTAAAAGAAATTCTTTAATTCATAGATTTAACTAGGGGCTTTAGAAATCATTTGATTTTCTGTTGAGGAAGGTGGGTTAATGCCTTTCTATCTCAAGTTAAACAGAGTCAGCAGCATAACTGTCATGTGCATAACTGTCATGTGAACCCACAAGTCCCCGTTTTAGTTTAATACTTTATTCAAAACCTGTTAATGTCCAGAATATTTTCTCTGAAGCAACAAGAATTGATCTAAAAGCCACCATTCTCAAAAAAACCTATGCTTACTCACTTTGTACTGGTTATAAAATGCTAATAACCTTATCCAGAATCAAAATCAAGTTGCTTCTACTTAAAAAATGGGCATTTATTAAAAGTGAAAACCAGAAATATAAGTAGTTCGTTTATAAAGTTAAGATTCCAGGAGACTGTAAACTTGCTAAGTCATCAAAAGTAGTCCTCGTTAGAAAACTTTAACAATAAGTAGTATTATTTTAGGAACAGAATCCTTCTACCTAGTCAACCCCCAAAACAGTGGTGCTTGGAAAAGCGCACTGTTAGAACAATTTTTTCACGTGTTGCTTTTAAACACAAAACCTTCAATATTCTGAAAAGCCAGACTTCCGTAGCAAGGCATTAAAGGAATTTGCCTTTTTCTTGACCCACAATATACAATGAGTACACACCTCCCCACACCCCCAAAATGCTGTTTTTATTTAAACAGGCATTAATCTGAATGCCTGCTCAGCACACACTTTGGGATCTGCGAGACCATTCCCTTCTGACCCCGCGCGAGGCCACCTTCTCGGTCCCTGCAGAGTCTCAGAGCAGAGCGAGGCGGGCAGGGCGACTCCGCCGAGACCATGGCCTCGCCACCGCCAGGAGGAAGACCTAGGAGCCCCACCTGCCCCACCACCGCCCCAGAGCCCCGGCCTGGCTCCCCGCCGGCGCCCCCTCTGCTACCTTTCCGCCGGAAGAAGGACATGGCGGGGCCCGGGTCGGGGCGGAGGGCGCGGGGGGACTGTCGCGGGGAGGGACCGGCTCCCCTCATTCAGCAACTGGCCCGGACTTCCGGGTCCGCAGCGACTGCCGCA